TGATCATTTTAAACACCTTTGCATTTTTAAGATCCAGGTGGCATTTTATTGGTAATTTAACTTCAGGATTGGTTCTAAAATGTTAAAGTTCATTTGGTCTTAACTATCAATTGAGCTTATTTTCCTTTAATCAAAAGAGCCATTTCCTTCAGCTTATTTAAAAAAAAAACCTGAATTTCTTTCCAAGACACCAAGCTGCCTGTTTCAACCCTGTGTTGTTAAGAGGCACCTAAAAAACAAATGCTATAACATACTTATGCACATTATGATCATGAGACAGTATATGCAAATTAACACTTTATTAAATTATCTGTTTTCAAATATCTGAGTTTAGGTTCAATATTTTCCTCTAAGATGGGAGGACATTTTGTTTCCATAAAACTGGATAACAAAGAATATTGTTATACATAGCTATCTAATAGTTTATCTGGAATTAAGTCCATTATCAGGGAAATAAGCCCAGATTGATGTGGTTGCTTGGTGGCAGTAAGACTGTAGAGGGAAAGAGACAGCATTGTGAATACAGGTAGTTTTAACCCTGAACACAGTGTGTTTGTTTTTAAAATTTTCAGTCTTTATCCTATAGTTGCCAAGACTTCCATCTCCGCTATGGATGTAGATGTATCCCGGGTCTATGGTTTTGAAGCAGCATCAGACTATGTGCTGCAAATGACTCCAATCTAGGGTTTAGGAAACCCTTGGATACATGCAGTTCTATGGTTCAAAGCCTCAGCCAACAGGAGCCCCAAAGGCGAGCTCTGCAGATGTCTTCCACGCGGGTGTGGACAGCAACGTTTCTGACAGAAGCTTCTGTGTCAGACAGGGCCCTGGGGAGAACAGAAGCGAGGAGTGGGAAACGTCCCAACTGTAGTAGCAACAGCCTTGCCATCCTGGACAGGGAAGGAGCAAACGTCACAGATTTATTCCTTCTACACAAAATCAGTTCATGAGTTTTTCACTTCCTTTCATTTTTATGAACACACACACACACACACACACACACACACACACACACACAGAAACTCGATGCAAAATGGGTTCCAAAGTAAAATACATAGATATCTGGAAGTTCAATTCTTTGAACTGAGTGCAAATCATCTTTCATACATAACACATGCCAGAATTTCCTTGTGGCAAGCAAATTCACTGAAGACTGCAATCTGCAGTGTATCATAACACAGCATAGAAACCATGAGTATAACTTTCCTTTCTTTTAGTCTAAATTGCAATACTATAATCTAGTTTCAGACCAGGCAAAGTGTGATCTACTTGTTAATGTTACATGGTCTATGTCTGCCTACATGCAATCCAGCCTGTAAGATTATGTTTTTAAAATTAAGAGGAAATTTTTAAAAAAATATTTGTATTGATTTCAGAGAGGAGGGGAGAGGGAGAGAGATAGAAACATCAATGATGAGAGAGAACCATTAATTGGCTGCCTCCTGCATGCCCCCTACTGGGGACTGAACCCACAACCTGGACGTGTGCTCTTGGCCAGAATCCTGGGACCCTTCAGTCCGCAGGCTGACGCTCTATCCACTGTGCCAAACCAGCAAGGGCAAGAGGAAATTTTAAAAGAAAATTGTTTGAGAGTGGCTCTCCCATCTTCTTCTGGCCATAGTCCTGGGATGAGTTATTTTTCTACTGCAATGTCAGTTATTTCCAAGTCTCACTGGGGCCAGAAATTAACATAAGTTAGGTCTAACATGCCAACAGAGACTTTCTGCTTGGGACTGGCCTGATGACCGTATTTCCCACTTTGAAACAATCATACACTCCTGCTGCAGTGAGAGCAGTAGGAATCTGGAGAGAGCAAAAAATTCTGTGTGTGTGTGAGAGGGTAAGATATACAGAAAAGTCAAAGCTTTCCTCCATTACTCCAAGGAGGAAAAAAGTCAATAACAATGCATACAGTAAAGAATAAAGCACCAGCTTAACAATTAACCTACTAACTGACCCTGTTCTCAGTGTTTAGTGAGAACCACTCCTCCCCATCTCCTTCTCAATTCTTGACTTGTAGAAATGGGTCTAAGTTGCTCTGCACTTATTTTCTGGAGCTCAAAGGCTGAAGCATTCTTCAGATTCAGGTGTCCTGAAACTAACGTCAGTCCTTTGTGGAACAGGGGGCTGGTTCTCTTCTAACTCTGGAAAGAAAAAAGAAAAGTGCCATGGACACAGACAATAGGGTGGTGAAGGCCTGGGACCGGGGGGGGGGGGGGGGCGGGCAGGGTGGTCTTGGGTGCTGAATGTGGAGAATACATGCGTGGGTGCATATGTGGAGGTGGGACTGTGGTCAGGGCCTGATTGTATCCACAGACTGTAACCTATACAGACGGAACTAGATCACTAAGAACACTCCTGGGGTTTTCTGGTGGGTCGTGGCTATGTCCAGACGCCTTTTGCATGGCTTTGGAATTTCACATAAAGACCCATACTTTGCTCCACCATCTGAAGTCACCCTTTTCTATGGAAGAAAATAAATCTCCAACAGAGGAAGCCAACTTTTATTTAAAGTACATGAACAATCCCCATCTCCTTGTAGACCTGAAGAGGATTCAGCAAGTTGGCACTTTCCTCCTTTCTGAACACACCACCATCAATTTACTCAGGGTTCTGCAATAAGGGTGGGCAAATAGCAGGTAAAATACAGGGAAAGGAAATACAACCTTAAAACAGAAGAGAACAAGTAAGTATTATTCTACCCTCTCCTTATCCTGCTCCTCCCCTACTCTGCCTCGGAGAATAAGCCACCAGAGTCCCCGAGAACACTCCGAGTTTCTGCTCTTAAACGGCTCCTTTTCCAAGGAGGAACAAGGTCTGTTTCTGATCGGGGGCCTTAGACGCTCTGTTATTGCAACTTAATTTTGCTGGAGCTTCTTTTCAAAGATTATTTGGAATGAATTGTTTCTTTTGTTTACTATCTAACAAACGACCTCTGCTAATCTTATATTTTATCTCCCTAACATATGGAAAAGCTATTTATTCTAGCCAATCACAATAAAGTAAAGAAAACCCCATTTTATGGAAAAATATATATCACTAGTCTGTTGATCATTAAAGATATGATTACCAGTGAAAACCCTCCGAAGGTGGCACATTTATGCTTCTAGGAACAGATGGGGACACGCATTTTCCTTGCAAATACTTTTGAAATTGCTCTACTGGTAGCAGTATAAAAATGATATACAGATGCCAGGGCCGGCATGGCCAGGATGAGTGCGCCAGATTTACACAGTAAAGCCTTCACACGCGGGCTGTCAGTTTTGATTGATCTCTACTATACCTCAGGAACTTGTTGACTAGGTAGGGAAACAGTGCAAATAATTCACTGCAGCAAGTCAGATAATTCACACAACCAATCGGTCTGCTTCACTTTCTGGCTGTGACATATGAGCCTTCCCTACAAAGATGCATCATTTTCCAGCTTGAGCAATATTCAATGTCAGGAAAGGAAAGGTATTAAAGCCACACAAAAGGAGGCAGTCTAACGCAGGACCAGAAGTTGTTTTGGTAATGGAGGCCAGATCATGCTCTACTCTAAGTCCTACCAGAGCGTTCGGGCTCAATTGTCATTATCATATTGATTAAAAAAAAAAACTTCATCATAGTGCAATTTTAGGTTTAACGCCAACGGATCGGGAAAGAGCAAAGAATTATCCCACAAAAGCACAACATTCTTACCGCAGGGACGTTTCCCTGTTCCAGTTCATTGATGGAGTTGATTAAGTTTAAATGAAGCAGACACTGGATAAAAGTAAGGGTATTGACCACTGGGCACCGCGATCCGTGCTTGAAAGGACCTGATACATGCAGAAAAGCAAGATTTGCTAAATGCTCTAATCTTCAATCAAATCTTACATCAATACAGACAAAGTTTGGTAATGAGAGATTCAATGAAGCATGTGGGAGAAAGAATTAATCCTCTTGGTCTAAACTGGCTTCAACTTTGAAGCCTGCTCCGAAGGAAAGACAGTTATCTAAATGCTAAATAAGAAACTTATTGTACTTTTCATGGCATGCTAATCTTTTGTCTATTTCATCTCTATTATGTGTATGCTCCTAGATTGCAGTTGTCATGGTGATTATATCAAGCCACGCTTGGGGACCGTGGTGAGAAGCCAGGCACGGAGGTGGAAAAGACCCCCACACAATCCACAGTACCAAATTAAGTAAATAAATAAGTAGAGGGGGAGGAGAAGTAGGCAGGCTCCAGACACCTCTGGGGGCTCCTTCCAGCCAGGTTCTGGCCTTCCCCCATTTCAGGGCCAAAGATGGTTGGGTTTTCCCGTCTTTCCAGTCACGGTCCCTCAGCCCGGCCAGCAGGGAGCAGTGTTTGGTAATGGTAGTGGGGAGGCGGTCAGGCATCCTTCCTACCTCAAACACCTTTCCCCATAAAGGCTCCTAGCTTTTAGTCCCGAGACTGGTCCCTCTCCTCACTGCGTCCACTTCCCCCAAGCGCTGTAAACAAATGGGTGGAAAGAACCACTGAAGAGGGAAGGGAGAGACACAAGGGCTCAGACACTGGTGGTCAGCCCTCCAGACTATGCCCTGAGGTTGGGAAGCCGAGTTGTAAGAACCTGACTGCCAGAGAGGAATGCAAACTTAGAGTGGCCCAGGCAGCCCAGGCGGGAGGTGGGTCACTGGGGGCCCTGGTGACCAAGGGTGCCCCTGGGCCCTTTATGTGTTTTACAAAAGTTGCCAAATTAAGACGGGATTATAACTGCTCAAGTCCTTGTCAGAGCTGAAAGGTTGGGAGCCTCAGATATGCCCCGGCAGTGTTGATGAAAAGCTTAAAAAGTAATAAAAGGGAGAAAAGAGCAAGGAAAGTAACATATATAACTCTTATTAAAGAGAAGAGCCACGGAGAGGTTGTGAACTTGAATCACTGTTTGAACTTTAATTTGTTCATTAACAGGATTTGCCCCTCACTGTGAATGTTATTACTTCCCTTTGCCGCTCAGCAACAACTCTGGGCATAATGAAAAAGTCTGGCAAAAAGTTAAATGCCTGGTAATTAATTCATTTAATTGAAAAAAGGAGGAAGAGAGAGGGTCCCACCGCAGGAGCTGAAAGCTGAGGGGCTGGAGGCGGGGGAGAAGGCTGAAATCTGCATTGAGGCCCTCTCCAAGGCCCAATGCCTGTCACCCATGGGAGAGGGGAGACTTGGTATCTGATGAGGCCCCTTCAGCAAAATTAATGCCAGCAGCATCCTAAAGACCCCCTGCCCAATGTCACCTGCCCCTGGTCCAAACCCTCTGGCCAGCGTTTCAGCCAGGAGCTGCTCTGTACGATCAGTTTGGGTGGCATGGATACCAGAAATCCAAAAATAATATATATTCAGAAAATCTTTCATTCAGAAGCGGGTAGGTGTCTTTTGCTTTCTTCCCTTCCTTCCCTTAGAGCAGGTTTCTTCTGCAATCTTCTTTTTCCAGGCTGGAGTGAAAGGGAGTGTCAGGAGCCGGATATAATCTGCATCTTAATCAGCCTTATAATGTCATGCTTTCTCCCCTACTATCCCCACCCCAGCAGGTGATTTAAATAAACTCAGGAGACAAGAAATGAAACACACTCCTTGCCCCTGCTCAGCAGTGACAGGACTAAACCAGCTTGCTTTGCCTCTAACCTCACAGGGCCTGCCTTTTCCTTTGTCACTTATCTCCTTCCCGTGTTCATCAACCATCGTGCACATCCCTTTGCATGTGCATCCTCCTTCCAAGGGAAGCAATGCTTGGCCACAATTAACTATTATGACTCCCAAGAGTTATTACCATGTTGCCCTTACAGCCAAATGAGAACACCAACATTCAGCAAATCAGTGGTAGGGTAGTTATCCTTTCCTGCTTAGTATGTGTAAGGCCTACCATTGAACAATAATAGGCACTTTGGATTTCCTTATGTGTGTGTTTGTTTGTTTGTTTTAACTGATTTGAAAGAGAGGAATGGAGAGAGGGAGAGAGAGAAACAGAGAGAGAGAAACTGAGTTGCTGTTTCTCCCATTCATGCATTCATTGGTTGACTCCTGCATGTGCCCTGACCGAGGATCAAACCTGCAACCGTGGTAATGCTTTAATCAACTGAATTACCCGGCCAGGGCACATTTTTAAAACTGGTATCTATATAATCAGTGCGACTTTCTTTAGAATTACTATTATGTACCATGTATTCTCCCATTACAAAGCTACTATGGACAGAAAAAAAAAAGAGAGAGAGAGAGAGAGAGAGAGGCGAGGAGAGAATGAGAGACAATATAAATGAATTCCCTAGTATCCAAAACTATTTCCTAGGTTTGTGTTTTAATTAAATCCCTTCTAAGCCCTAGGGAAATAACAGAATTTTCTCATCCAAATCAAAATGTCACCAAATAAAGTTATCAAAATCACCATTTTGCTGACAGCATCCTCCCTACTTAACCCAATGCCACTTGGTATTACAATCCTAACCTCAAACTCCAGACAGCTATAAATGATCTGTGCTCATGTCTTCCTGAAAACCAATGATAGGCACACATCCATCTGCATCAACAGGAAGGGGAAAGGAGCTAATTTAAAAGTGCTATTTTAAAAGCTAGAGCAAGTTCTAGGGTTTGTTTAGCATTGAAGTGACTTCTCACCTTTTACAGTCCCTGGATATTGAGTGAGTTCTATTTTCCATAGTTGTGGATCTATATAGTATAGCCGTTTTACTCGGGACAACTGACACTAAATATTAGGGGTCTATGAAAAATCAAATCAAAACAAAACAAAGGTTCCTTCACACCACACTGCTGGGGCCTAAGCTCCTTTTATGAAACTTTAGAGACCTACCAGCCCGGTCTGGTAACCCTGCTACTATCCTAATCTAGATCCTTATCACCTTTCTAATGCTTGAGTAAATTTCTTCCTACCTCCAACACAGCCTTCAGAGTGCCTTGAGATTAACTATCATAAACCCCATTTTACTGGAAAGCCTTGAAAGCTCTGATAGCCTGTAACAGGTCCAACTCCTTAAATTACCTTTAAGCCTCCTCTCTACCCTGCCCATAACTGGCCATTTCCTGTTTGTTTTCCACTATTAGCCTACGCAAGGCAAGACAGCTCTTCAGGCAGACAGCTCTCCCACTGTACACTGAAAACACCATATGCGTTATCTTCATTTTATTGAACAGTTATGAGGTGCCAGGCAACATATTAGGCATTGTAAACATCTCATTTAAGTCCTTCAATTAGGTGAGATATGATTGTATCAATTTTAAGACTGTAGAAACTGAGGCTAAAGAAGTCAAAGTAGGCATTCAACCAAGATCCCACAGAAGAGATAGGATAGGATTCTCATGCTTATCTATCTGTTTCAAATGCTGGTTTTCTTTCCACTCTGGCATACTCCCACCCTTTCTGTGTTATATGTTCCCATCACTCCTTCTCTTTGCCATCTGGATGCCTTCTCCATTCCACTATACATATATGAGTCCCACCCAGTTTGAGAATCCCAGAGAGAAATTCACAAGCCTATCTTGAAACCTTTCACCCATCATCCTAGTCCTTGGCAGAATGCTGAACTCTTCGTTATCTGCAGCACGGACTTTTGGCACTCTGTCATATACGGTCATGTCAGGTTTTTTGTTTGTTTGTTTGTTTGTTTGTTTTATTCAGTCCCTTTCAACTACACCATAAGTTTCTTGAAGATAGGAATTTTCCTTCTATTTCTTTATATTCCTCTCTCACCCTCCCAGCCTAATAATATAGCTCCCTTTGGTGAGCATACACCTCACGCACAACAATCCTTAATAGTAGATTCTGTTACTATTGTCATTTTGCAAGTTAAGAAACTGTGGTTCAGAGAGAAAAAGAAACATGCCCAAGCCAATCAACGAGTAAAGTAGCAGATCTGATATCCAAACAGAGATTGTCTGAATCCAATGCCCCTTTCCTTAGCCAATACATTTTACTGGCTCAAATTCATTGTGCTGCACACAATGTGAATTTATGAAGTGTTACTGTGTGGAGAATTCTCAACAAACCTCCAGAAAACACCCCTCTAATCCTGACTTTGAACAAAGGTCAGTGGTTTTACTCTTTAGTAGGGTAGATTCTGAAACTCAACAGAAGGAAGGATGAGCGTATACTGGGCCATAATATCCCAGGAAACCCCTCCCATGATCCCCTCCTCTCTAGGAGGCATCCCCATAGTGGGAGCCAGTGATGCTGTCTGTATCTGGTGTTTCTGTGAGATAGAATAGCCAATGCCCTTTCCATAGCAGCCTCTATGCCTTTTAAATACACAGAGGAAAGTAAGAGAAAATGAAAGACACACGTGTCAATGTTTTTTAAATGGACCCCAGTCTCACTGTGTCTGCAGCAAAAATGGTTGCTGCTGTGGGAAGAATAGCAATTGCAAAAAATGTTCACAGCTGACCAATCAAACCAATATGTAGAACTCCAGCCAGCTTCCTGATCTCCTCTAAGATAGGTAAGTGGCAAAGGGATTCATAAATCTCTAAGAAAAGAAGAACTTCCGAGATATGAGAATCACGGCCTGGAAGTCTAACCAGTTTTGTCCACATGGAGATTGTCCCTTTATTGTGCTGAAGATCTGGACTTAATAGTATGAAGTGAGCTAGCAGGTTTCTTTTCATCCAGCAGGTCTTTACGATTTTTTTTTTAATCTCTTGCAGTGGCATCAGAGTACTTCTTATGAATCTGAGAAAGGAGAAGTAATGACTAATTATTCACTTGTGTCTAGTATGCATGCTAAAACTAGCCTATTCTCTCACGTTGCCAAAGGGGGGTTCCATCTGCATTTATATTTATATCTGGACAGCTCGAGGACTATGGCTCTTACCTTCACCTATAAAATCTGGGTTGTGGCACACAAAATCCTACACATGCACAGCACTTAATAAAATAAATCACTCCTTTTACTTCATCTCGAACAAGGCTCAAAACTACACTTTGAAGTAGACCCACTGGGTGCTACTATTATATACATTTTGCCTATGAGGAAAACTAAAATTTGCCTCAAGTAACACAATTAGTACATGGTGAATGTAGTCCCCTCTCCTGGTCCAGGATTCTTTCTACACATGATTCTTCCCAATTCTTAGGGCAAATTCCCACCTTTTCTATAGTCTGGATTCACAAGTTAATTTTATAAACTGAAAGCCAGGAACCTTTCCATCTGAAAGAGATGGGCTTTAAGCTACACTAATCCAACTTCTATTACAATTTACTGGGCCGTGCTAAGAATCTTCCACCCTAATCCTGAAGCTATAAACACTATATACAAAATTTAACAGATTCAAGTTAAGAAATGTTTGGATGTTCTTACGTCTATAGAAGATGAGCAGGCATGATGGTTAGGCTATCTGGTTCCAAAGAAAGGCCAGCATCACTGTCACTTGTTTTTCCACAATTGTCATTATTTATTGAGGTTTGCTGGGTACCTGATTCTCTCTTGTACTTGTCACATAAAATGTTGGAGCTGTTTTGTCTACCTAACAGACAAACAGTTGAGGGTCTTTCCCTAAAAAAGATCTGGAATTGGATCTGTCCACCTTGGTCCCTGACCCTTTAGTTAGATATGTGAACCTGGTATCTAGGGCCCAGCAGGTTCCCTTTCCTAATTTCTGGGCAACAACCATGCTCATCAAAGCAGGCAGGATGTAAAGTTCCAGATCTTATAAATGGTTGTCATAAGGACATTCTTCTTCTTCTTTTTTTGCCAATCCTCATCCAAGGATATTTTTCCATTAATTTTTAAAGAAAGCAGAAGGGAGGGAGGAAAGAGAGAGAAACATCAATGTAAGAAAGACATTTACTGGTTGCCTCCTGCACACACCCCAACCAAGGCTGGGGCTTGAACCTGCAACCCAGGTACATGCCCTTGACCAGGAATCGAACTCATGACCCTTTGGTGTGCAGTTTGACACTCTAACCACTGAACCCACCAGCCATGGCAAGGATATTTTTTCTCTCTCAGCTCAAACTTGATTAATCTCCACCCAGTCTAACTCGGGTGAAAGACAGAAACATATTTATTGCTTTGTAACTGTTGCCCTATTTCTTTGCTGGCTGACCTTCCCTATATTAAGTGCATCAGCATTTGCAACATTCAGTTTAAGCAAGGTCTTTTCTCTTTATCTGCTGGTCTTGATCTCTCCTGATCATTATGGTCTGGATCCCGGCTAATCACTAATGATCCTGACCCTCTATCCTAACTAATAAAGAGGTAATATGCTAATTGACCCTCACGCTATCACAAAGATGGCAGCGCCCACAGCCAATAAGGAGGGAATATGCTAATTGACTGTCACGTCCTCAAAGATGGTGGCGCCTACATCCAATAAGGAGGGAATATGCTAATTGACAGCCACACCCTCAAAGATGGCAGCGCCCACAGCCACAAGATGGCTGGCAGGGGGGGCAGTTGTGGGCAATCAGGCCAACAGGGGAGGGCAGTTAGAAGCGACCAGGGCAGCAGGGGAAGGCAGTTGGGGGTGACCGGGCAGGCAGGGGAGGGCAGTTGAGGGTGATTGGGTCGGCAGGGGAGCAGTTAGGCTTCGATCATGCTGGCAGGGGAGTGGTTAGGGGGTGATCAGGCCGGCAGACAGAAGCGGTTAGGGGCAATCAGGCAGGCAGGCAGGCGAGCGGTTGGGAGCCAGCAATCCTGGATTGTGAGAGGGGTCCCAGATTGTAGAGGGTGCAGGCTGGACTGAGAGGACCCACCCCCTCCCCAGTGCACGAATTTTGTGCACTCAGGGGGGTCCCTCAGCCTGGTCTGTGCCCTCTCGCAGTCTGGGACCCCTCAGGGGATGTCCACCTGCTGGCTTAGGCCCACTCACTGGGGGGATCGGGCCTAAGCTGGCAGTCAGACATCCCCCTGGCAGCCCGGGAGCTCCCGCCACCATCACTGTGCTGGAAGCCATCAGCCTGGCTTGTGGCTGAGCAGAACTCCCCCTGTGGAAGCGCACTGACCACCAGGGGCAGCTACTGCATTGAGCGTCTGCCCCCTGGTGGTCAGCGTGTGTCATAGTGACCAGTCATTCCCAGTCATTCTGCTGTTAGGGTCAATTTGCATATTATCCTTTTATTTTATAGGATAGAGGCCTGGTGCACAGGTGGGGGCTGGCTGGTTTTCCCTGAAGGGTGTCCCAGATCAGGGTGGGGGTCCTGCTGGGGGTCCTGGCCAGCCTGGGTGAGGGGCTGAGGGCTGTTTTCAGCCTGGCCACACTCCCTTCAGGGTGGGGGTCCCCACTGGGGTGCCTGGCCAGCCTGGGTGAGGGGCTGAGGGCCGTTTTCAGGCTGGCCACGCCCCCTGGCGACCCAAGCTCCCAGCCTCTCCTTTTTTTTTCTCTGGTATTTATTTTCTATAATTGAAACTTTGTAGCCGGCCAGGGCAGGTGGGAAGCTTGGTTTACTCCATTGCTGGGGGAAACCCAAGCCTCCTGCTCACTCCAGCTCCGTGGCTGCAGCCAACTTAGTTGGGTTAATTTGCATACTCACTCCTGATTGGCTGGTGGGCATGACTTGTGGGCGTGGCTTGAGCATAGTGGAGGGATAGTTAATTTGCATGTTTCTCTTTTATTATATTGGATATTAGATCTGAACTCTTAGAAAGTTTCCTATTTGGCTAATTACATTCTATCTGCTTTTCTTGGTTCTCCATGTAGTCTTAGTTGCAGTTGAATTATTTCCTCAGATCTTATTATTATTTTTAAATATATATATTTTTTTATTTCAGAGAGGAAGGGAAAGAGATAGAAACATCAATGATGAAACAGAATCACTGATTGGCTGCCTCCTA